ATCTTCCGAGCGCCGTACCCTACAACTAAAAGCATAGTAATACCCATTTGGATGGATATCAAAGGATGATAATTGACACAAAAGATCCTCTTTAATGCTAAAATGTTCTTGATTAAGAAGAGTTTTATTTTGAAGGGGAGGGTATGTGGTTATTTTAGTTTCTTTTCACAGTACATTCCAATCTCACCTGAGCACACATTCTGCTCTCTCATACCAAGGCATGCACACAGTGCAATGCAAGGCTCCTTGTTGGTTTGAAGAGGCCATATCTCCATCCTTAGAGGTCACTCCATCCTTGTTGTATATTCAAGCTTACAAACATGTGTTTTCTTTTGCTCCCTGTTGCTCAAGGAACAAATCAGGCCTTCAGGAAACATGATTCCTGACTATAATAGTAATTTAAAAAAACATGTGAAAAAACTTTTTTTTTTCTTTTTTCTTTTTGAGATACATGAATGCTTAAAGGTTGTGGCTGGCAATTGCAGAACAAAAAGTGCCTAATGCAATGATTGCAAAGTACAACACACCATCCTTTGGTGCAACATCTCATCAGCATTGTATAAGCATGTGTTTCACAAGAAAGCACATGGCACATTTTTGTGAAAAGGAGCTGGGTTACATATATTTTGTATAAATTGGTGTGTTCACTTTCAGAGATTCAGCATGCCACACTACAAGCTGACGTACTTCAATTTGAGAGGAAGAGCAGAAATTATCCGCTACCTGTTTGCCTTTTCGGGCAAGCAGTATGAAGACCATAGGATAGAAGGAGCAGACTGGCCCAAAATCAAACCAAGTAAGTAGAACAGACTCCCGAACCCAAAACTTGCCTGGAAATGCTGTCTAAATGCAAAGCGAGTGAAGAGGTGCTTAAATGTTTCATAACCAAAAAAAAAATGGTCCCAAATGATCCAGACGCAAATCTTTGTGCAACATGAGCTGTATGGTTCCTTGATTTTGTCACTGTCGTCCAGCAGGGCTTCTGGTCCTAATCAGTTCAGTTCATCTGCCTAAAGCTCATCAAAGGCATACTCATCATCCAGGCTTCTAAGAGGATTTGGTCTCAAGGACTACACTGCAGCCATCAGCCCAGTTTTAGAAAGCCAAGGGAAAGGAACTGACAATAAGGCTTTACAGCTTCTTTGCGGCTTTCAAAAATCATTAAATTGGTACAATTGAACTAATTTTATAATTACATATTGAATCCAAGTTAAGAGATAATACACACAAACTGCTGTCTGTATTTCCATACAGTAAAGCTGATTTGTATTTACACACCAGACTTTGAAAGAAGACCTAGGAACAGTTTTGCCTGCAGAGCTCTACAAGTACAAAACACCTGTGCCTCTTCTTTTAAAACATCATATACAGTGGCTGAAAAATACTTGGGAAAGGTAAAACTTTGTCCTCATAAATATGCGCAAGGAAAGTCTCTTTGACCTACCAGGAGAATAAACCATATTATAGAGGCAAGTTTGTCCAAGAGCATCAGGAGTCAGTTCTCTATACAGAGCAGAAGTTGGCTTTATGAATTAGCAAAAAAATAATAGTAAAATCTCATAACATATAACACTCTCCAACCCAAATAATATTACAAAAAACAATACTGTCATTATTCTGACAAACACGTTTCACGATTTCTTAGTTCTCCTGTAAAAGTGAAGGGAAACTAGAAAATGTGTTCAATGACAAACACAGGGAAAGGCTATTTAGAAAGCAGGCTTACCCTTGCTGCAAGTTTCATTTTTAAACTTGATAGTAGTGCAATATTGCTGCTTTTTTGTTTGTTTGTTTTGGCATTTTCAAGTGTCTAATTCTACTGGATCCACAAGAAACTTTCTTCTTAATGATTCTTTATGCTATTTCAGGTAAGTAAGTAACATCTTGCTTCTAGAAATAGTCTCATCCAGTTTTGCCTACACTCTTCCTCCCCCATTTCTCCCCCTCTCCCCCATTTTTTCCCCTTTAAGACAAGTTGTACAAATAAAGGCACATGTCATTTGGCTTTATATACTGCAAAATGGCAATTTCTGTGTTTCAGCATTTTTCTTTCTTTCCCTCCTGTCACCGATATGATGACTCTCAGTAAATTTTCTAACTGCTACCTTCAGGCAAGAACTATAGTTTAAAAAATAAATAAATCTAAATAAGGTAATCTCCAAGTACTAATTGCAAGTAGCTGTAGCACAGAATTTTAAAAACTAATCAGCCAATATATTTACATGATCCTGTGTCTATACAAATTCAAGAATTCAGTGTATTGTGCAAGAACTTTTAGAAAAGTAAATAAACTTAGTCTTTATGTAGCAGCTTCCTTAGACTAGACTTAGAGTAGTTATTGCAATAAAAATATTTTCAGTGTAACAGAGGAATCCTGAAAGATTTAGTACCTGACAGCTGAGAGCAAACATAATTTCCTCGAGGGAGCAGTCATTCTGTTTCCTGAATGACTTGGTACTACATAGCTCTAGCTAAAGATGATATATAAAGAGTCATTTGGGGATAGAAGTAGAGCTTACCAGTCACTTACAAGGAAATTCTTAGCTGTTATAGCAGCAGCACTAATGCTGCATTCAGGTTAGATTGAAGGACCGTTCTCACCAACTCTTCACAAGATATGGATTCCTGATGCCTCCAGCTCCAGTCCAGCGGCTTCACAACACCTTTACTTCTTTAATAGCTATAAAAGAGCATTTAACAAACATAAAAACAAACAGAAAGATCTCCGAAATAATTTGTGTTTTTCAATTGAAGTATCTGATATATTTGTTTCACTATTCAACATAAGAAATAATGGAAAGGAAAAGAAGTTATCGCTGGTTTTCAAGGCAAAGAAGATTTTGACATGCCTATTGTAGTAAGAAACTTGGAATCCCCCCTCCAATCCCATCTTTGACCAATCCAGCTGCATTTCTACAGAGTCAACATAATGTTGTTAATTAATCAAGTTTTGAGGAACATTCAATTACCTAAATACATCAGCCTGCCAGGCTTTGACAAATCTGGGTTCTGTCTATGTTTTTCATGAGGAAAATGGATTCCTCTACCAGGATGTCCCCAGAAGAATAAGCAAAGAACTCATAGTCAAGAATGTCCTAAGACATATTTGGAATGAAAACTCTTTGGCTGAAATGCTGCAGATCAGCAAGGAAAAAGTATTCCAGCTCCAGGAAATGTTCATGGAATGGAGATAATTTTTACAGACAACATGGTTTTAAACATGAACCAGGCCTCGCTTTCCCTCTTTAGTACCCGTTAGAAGCTACGAACATCACAGCTCTAATCAAACACCAAGAGGAATTAAAATATGCATATAAAGGAATTTGTACAACTCTCAAACTAGCACAAATACTTCACTGACTCCTCCTTAAAACAAGAGGAAAGAAGGCAGATCCATCTGGCAACTTATGCTTACCCTGTTGATGTGTTCTTGACAGGGTGCGTGAGGTCTGCAGATTTTATTCCAGCAACACTCGAAACAACAACAACAAATCAGGACATCAGAATTTGATGACTAAAATTCAATTAGAGGCAGCTACAGGTCTAGCTATCCAAACAACATGCTTTTTAAAAACCCTGTTCTTTTAAGTGGGTTTTCATTCAAAAGCTGGATATCAACACATGCCATCATAGTGTCTTTTACTACAGGGGAGAAACAAAACACGTGGAAACTACAAGAGAAAGGTCACGTAGTTGGTGCATGCCAGGGAAATGACACTATTACTCAGATGATGACGGCAGATTTTTTTTCTAGTTCCTCTTCTGAAAATGTATTTGCTCAAGCGGAGCGTGGAAACTCTACAAGATGACAATGTTTTGGCAGACATGGAAAGAACATCCGTATGGATATACATGGGAATAAACCAACATGAGCTCACAGCAGGCACCTGACTGATCGAGGGTAAAGAAAAAAACTAGCAGAGTGGCATGCACATCCTTCCAGCCTGCATTTTATTTTTCAGCTTAACTATTGATTCATCATTGTGCTCTGATTCATGCTGACTCATGATTTGAGCCCCAAATTCTTATTCTACTCAAATGAGATCCTGTTTATGTTGTTGCCTCTTGTGCTACCTCTTTTACTTACCCATCTAAAGGAGGAGTACGTGCAGGAGATGGCCCAGGCGTTCAGTTCCTGAGGAACTGCATAAACCACACCTTTCATCAAAAACGGCAGCAGAAAATTATCAATGTTTTATTACATCGACCCTACGTTTGGCACCTTCATGCATCATGAAATGCTCCTTAAAAACTCATGTGTGTTGCTGGTTAGTAGAGACGGGGCCAAAAATAGCGGAGGAGGCTCAAAATAAGCCATGAGAGCCAAACCCACAAGTGGAAAAGTAGCAATGCTTAAACTCATTTACAGACGGATTATTTTCTGTTTGTAGCTTGGTGTCTGAGTAGATGGCCCAGCTGTGTTTTGATCTGTGCTTGAAAAACGGGCTTCAGTCAATGTTTCTACAGAGGTTGCAGCAGGGCCACTCTCAGCTGATACTATCAGTACAACAAAACTAGATGTTTTCTGAACTTTTTTTTCTTTTTTTAAACATTAGCAGAAGAACAAAAAGATACTTTACTCTCATTATTAAAAACTTTGCTCTTCCTAAATTAATATTGACTTCTAATGCCTCAAAGGCATATTTTTTTCTTCTAAAACTTGGGCGCCAATGAGAGGAAAGACAATTATAGCCATTACTCATATTTTCAAGGTGTGAATAGCAATCTCATAGAATTCTGCAATCGGCAGATCCCTGAGAAACAAGTTATTAGGAATTACACTTGCTCTTCCACATCACCAACCAACTGTTTCTATTGCACTTTAATACATTTTCTTCAACGACCAGAAAGATTCCTCCACTCCTTTTCTTTAATCAAAGTTCTCTGAAAAAACCGAACACACACAAACCATATATCATTTTCCTTGCAGTGACAAAGTGAAACATCAAGCAAAGCTTCTGCTTTTTGACTTTGCTCATATATGTAAATACAGCAGAAAATGAGGTGTTCAGTTCCTAGATTGTGCAATTTTTGTTTCCTAACGGAGTCACGATCACTGGGTTTTGGCAGTTATTGCTAAAGAGACTCGAGCAGTCATGTTGACCTAGTCACAACTTCATGAGAGCTGGCACCGTCTTACAGGGGCAAAAAGGCTGCCTCTTAACTCCTCCAAGAGTGACACTTGCCACGTTCACCGTACCGTGGCTTCATACATAGTGAGATTGAGGGCACTCTGCAACATTAATGCACAGTGCAGAACCAAGGCTTTCAGCATTTCATACTCAGAGAGCTTTTCAAATTCGCATGAGGGAAGTGCCTTTTCATCCCTGGATTGTCAATACAGTGACATGTGGCCTTGCTGTGCTCTTGATCACAAATATATGGAGTCCTCTGGGCAACAACTCTGTTACTGGTTCAATAACAAATAGCACTGTACACTTTCTCCCTATGGTAAAAGAGTTTTAATGCTTTTTGAGCTCTCTCACTTCTGCCAGTCATCAGAGTTAAAATTTATGCAGGCCTCCCTGCATGTTGAACCTAGATAAAAGCCAGTATCACTGGAACTAAATTCTCCTAATGTCATCTGCACATCTAGTCTTTAGAACACAAGGCTACCTTGTGGATACCTAATTTCTACCCTGGAGCTGGCAGCTTGCAACATTATCCTGCTCATCTCCTTAACGCTGTTGTTTTACTTTAATCCGTACCTATTGCATTTTGCCAAAGTAGTATTGTACCAATGGTTTCCCACCGAGAGCATCACATGTGCAACTATTACAAACTTGCATTGTAATAGGATTTAACTTTGGTTTTTTGTTGTTTGTTTGTTTTTGTTTTGTTTGTTTTTGTTGTTTGTTTGTTTGTTTCTTCCCTTCCTCCAAGCTATCCCATTCGGCAAAATCCCCATTCTGGAAGTAGATGGAGTTATCATTCACCAAAGCCTGGCAATAGCAAGATACCTTGCTAAAGAAGCAGGTAATGTGTATTTGACAATTTCCTCACTCTGTTCTGCCCCATACTTTTAATGCTCTCCAACAAACAAAATACTCTGTTTTTGCTAGGGTTGGGTGTAACAGAAACCAACGCTGCTGAGACTATATTCATATCAATACATCTCAGGCACAAATGATAGGCTATCAGCTGCTCAGTGTACCCGTGGTTTGCTTGCCAGTACTGGGGGTTGACTACCAAAATGCCATGTCCTACACTGGATATTGTTAAGGACACTAATTGTATTGAGATGGGCATAAAACTAAAAGCTCAGCTTTGGGGTAGCAAATATTCCTACTAGTGCTGTCTCTAACGTCCCCTTACGCATTTGCTTCTGCTAGGTGTGGCGGGCCAGACGCCTGTGGAGCAGGCACTAGTTGATGCTGTTGTGGACACCATAGATGACTTCATGACTCTGTTCCCCTGGGCAGAGAAAAACCAGGATGTGAGGGTAAGACAACCACTCATTTGAAAAAGGACAAGCAATGAGTGCACACCAGAGTGCCTGTGGCTAGCCCTCCACGAGAGTCCACTCAAGGTCTCTGCTCCGAGGGGCAACGTAGCACATCTCTTGCTCTGGCCGTGCTCCCTAGCATGCCCCATGGCCTGACCACAGTCCTTTTGCAAGTTTCTTAGACCCTTTGGAATTTTTGATGTCGTTCCTGTCTTTTTCTCTCCAACTCAGAGCCCTAACTGTCCAAATGCAAACTAGCTTGTTCAGCAAAGAGGGTGATACATGAGTTAACTCAAGTATTATATTAGTTGTACTCAGTTCTGACCCAAGAAAATAACCTGGACCTTATATGAAAGATTTAATAACCAGTAACAATAAGTGTAACCCCCTTCCACTTATTTTGATGTGTTTCAGCTAGACAGGAGTATTTTATTATAAAAAAATGACTACAAAATGTTAAAATAAAGAGTCAATTACGGACAAAAAAAATATGTGCTCTAAAACACGTACAGGGAATATCTCTTGAGTTTCTTACATTCTCGACAAGGCTGTTATCATCTTGCTCCTCCTGGGTCCACTGCCACCACCTTGTGGTGGCAAAGTCTAATTGACAGTAGAAGCACAGTCCGACTGACATCCTAACACTAAAAGATTTAAACAATTTACGCCCAGTAAAGCATAAAAGTCAGAAGATTTGCTCAAACCTAATAAGCAATTACAGGAACACCCATCCTTCAGAACAAGTTTTCACAGAAGAATGACTACAAAATGTTAAAATAAGGAGTCAATTACAGACAAAAAAAAAAAATATGTGCTCTAAAATACGTACGGGGAATATCTCTTGAGTTTCTTACATTCTCTACAAGGCTGTATCATCTTGCTCCTCCTGGGTCCACTGCCACCACCTTGTGGTGGCAAAGTCTAATTGACAGTAGAAGCACAGTCCGATTGACATCCTAACATGAAAAGAACAATTTATGCCCAGTAAAGCATAAAAGTCAGAAGATTTGCTCAAACCTAATGAGCAATTACAGGAACACCCATCCTTCAGAACAAGTTTTCACACTGCATAATACACCTAGTAGCAAGAAGAAAAATAAGAATAGCAGAGCTGACATGAGCACCCTGCCCATGAACTCTTGGTTCATGCCTTGCACCCATCTTTTTGCCCCGCACCCTCCACAAAAGGCTTACCCGACAGCAGAAAGATGCAGGGGGTCTTTAAAAGGCTCTGCAGAGACACCAGTGTGATCCCTAGCTACACCTTTTGGAAGTATTTAAGCAGTCACCTCTCCTACAGCTCATTTTTTCCCCTCAACCTGAACATGCTTTTCCAAGCTCAGGTCAAAGAGGAATGAGCTGCAGCTGCCCCCAGCTGCATCACATACCTGACTAAATAACCCCAGCAGGTGAAGGGACTTTTGGCATCTCAATTGCTTACACATGGGAGCAGAAGAAAAAAAGTTGGTCTCCAAAGCACACAGCTGAACTTTTATGAGGGGGGTTAAAATTGTCCATGGGCAGCAAAAGGCTTCCTTACTTCCAGCAGTCCCAGACTGAAGAGTGGAAATGATCCAAAGTCTCTACACAAACTCACCAGTCTCTTTGGGAGGGAAGGTCATAAGAGATGGGACAGCAGAACTGAACTGTGTGCCCCACTTCCACAGGGCATCAGCAATGCAGTAACTTACAGAGAAAACACTTATGAAGCCAGTTGCCCTGTGATTTACTCATGGGTCAGTATGCTGCGATAGGAAGATTGTTTATGGCATTCAGGACATCCCAAAGAGCTGACATTATAAAGGATATCAGCATAAAAATGAGAAAAGTCCTGGTGCTTAAGGCCCCCCAGAAAGGCCACATGAAGTAAAAACTTCCACAAACAAGGTCTTTCCAAACCCACGGAGCAGCTGCCTACCTGTTACCACATACAAGGGCCTGGCCCAGCTCCATACATCACTTCACAGAGTACCTCATGATGTGAGGTAACGACACAACGTATCGTTACCTCACAGCGAGGCAATGACTCCTCTTGCTAAGCTTCCCCATGGCCCTCCTGCCCCAGCTCATAGAACAGTTGTCGCCTTACTGTTTTTTACCCAATTGCTCTTTAGTTTACTGATGCTTACTTGAAATCCACGGCCATCTTTTTCATATTTCCCTGGATGGTACATCCTTTTCATAAATAAGAAACACGCAAGAATCACATTTGGATTTACGTGTGGCTCTGTTCTTTTCTTTCCCCAGGAAAAAGCATTCAACGATATCCTCACCAACCAAGCACCAGAGCTACTGAAACACTTGGATGCTTTCTTAGGGAATAAAAACTGGCTAGTAGGAGAATCTGTAAGTGTATTTTAAGTATATTCACCCACTCCAAACAAGTGGTTAGTAAAGCAAACTGACTGTTGTTAACTTCCACATTTTATGTAGGCCTACAGAATCTTGTGAAACAACGACCATCGCTCTTGTTAACTTCTTGCTCTTACCAATACCTTTGTTTTTAATTATGTTGAGCCTTGCACTGCAAACTTAGCACTAGCTCTGCAATTGCCACTTCCAAAGCACAAATCAATCAAATGCAATAATTGAGCATGGAACAAATGAATTCACCTTCAGACACACCTTATGAGGTTACCAACTTATTTACTGCTTTCTCTCTCTCTCTCTCTCTCTCTCTCTCTCCTTCTCACCAGGTAACATGGGCCGATTTTTACTGGGATGTGTGCAGTACAACCCTTCTGTCCTGCAAACCCGACCTGGCAGACAACTATCCCAGGCTCCTGGCTCTCAGAGACAGAGTACAAGCGCTCCCTGCTATTGCGGCCTGGATCCAGAAAAGACCAAAGACAATTATGTAGCCTATTTGTGCAAACTAGGAAAAACGAGCAAACAAAGAAAAAAAATGCTCATTTATATTTTCATGTCACAATTAACAAGTGGTATAAGTTACAAGTTTTCCAATCATTTAAATACATTTCAGATGAACATGCTGTACTCAACACCACATCTACTCCTTCTGTGCATTTGAAAGAAGGGACTTAGTGGATTAGAGGCTGGGAACAAGATTGCCTCCACTTACACCCCTCTCACTAGAAACAAAGGGTTAAAACTGATCAACCCCTGTTATGGTTGGTGCGATCCCAGCACTGAAAAGTCCAACCTTTGGTTCCTTTCAGCATGCATTCTCCAGGTTTCTGCTTGCTCTTCACAGATCTTTCCTGCTTCATCTTCCACTCTCTTCTCGCCTTCACATCAGAGAGAAGCCCAAGTCATCTTCTTTCTGTACCTCCTTTCCAAACCCAGACACCAGTACCTGATGACAGTGAATGGCAAGACCTTCCCCGAAGGGAATCCTGGCAAAATCAGATTTAGGATTCAGGGGTGTAATCCCAGACCATTTAGTTTCATTATAATTGCCTTTTTTTTTTTTTTTTTTTCCCCCCCTCAAGCTCCACTTAGTGGATACTCTTGACATAACACACACGGTGCTTGAGAGGCAAGTCAACTTTCAGAGCTTTTGCAGCAAACAAACTACTTACCACAGCACTTCTCGCACATGCGCACACGCGCACACACCCACACAGATTTAAACCTGCCTTCATTAGCCTCCACTGCCTTAGCGGTCAGACTATGGTTAAAATTCACGGAAACTTTAAATACAGTTACTCTGCCTGGGATTGGGAATTTCCATTTGCTATATTTTGATACATAGAGCTGGGCTTCTACCATTTCAAAACCAGAAACTAGAGGTGAATAAAAAAATAAAATGTGTGGAGTTCCTCCCAAATGGCCTTCTCCATATTTGTCACCTGGCTTACAACTCAATTGGGATTCAACTAGACTAAATCATGACTAACAAGTGACCACTGAATAAAGCCAATTCAGTACAAATGGAGCCATCTCTGCTAGCTTTAAAGCTGCTGCTTTTGTTTCTAACTTCCAAGTCAGAATTCCTCCCCTTCGCCCCCAACAAACACAAAATGAAAACATTTCATTCCTTTGTGGAATTTTATTTGAACCAATTGACACTAAACCAATACAATACAACAAAGGGACCAAAACAAGCAAAACCAGACTCAAGTATTGTCAAATAAGGCACATAAAAGTCTATACACACAATCCAGTGAAACAGACAGTTCTTATATATATGCACACACTGATATATGTGTGTGTATATATATATATATAGTTTTAATAAATATATATTTGGAGGTAGAAACAAATATAAAAATACTGATAATTCTTAAGCAGTAGTAGATCTGTTAAAAAGATAACTGTTGAGGTCCCGTTCTTGAAAACTGCTCCATATATCAGCATTCATTTGGAATCTGATCCACTATGTTTCTGCCACTTACCTTTTTGTTTCTGAGCGTCAAAAGAATACCATCAATGTTAGAAATTTTAAAAACCATGAGAAATATAATAAAGAAATACAAGAAATAAATAAATACAAGAAGGTAGAAATGCCACAAATTTCACAGTCAATAATGCAAGAACTCTGGGGATGATAGTGACTTTTTTCCTTAAATTCTATAATATATTGACATTTTATAGATCTAATGAAGTTTTTAGGAAGCTGATTTTATCTGCTGGAATGACTCCTGCAACTCATTGTACTCATTGTAATTGTAGGCATGAAGAAAAATGAACAAACAATCAGCAAGAAGAAACAATACTGTTTAACACTACTGTTAATAGTTCTTTTCAGCATCTTCACAAGTTCAGAGTACATTTGTTCTTGTTTCTCAGACATGTTGCATAGTTCAATGACATCTCTTTTCTGAAGCAGCTGTTTTAGAATCTGAAAAGATCTATAAAAAAAAAAAAAGAAAGAAATCATGTAAAAACTGCATTGTAGTGAGTAGTCAGTAGTAATGTACTACCTAGCAGGTCAGTTTTTAAGCTATTTTATACCTTATCCCTGAGCAGCTGGATTCATGGATTCATTTCTAGATTTTATTCCTCACCACAATACAAAAAGACACTCAGTTCAGAACACCACAGGTTAATATAATTGGATAAGAGAAGTTAACTAAAACAAATAACAAATTCACTCATTTATTGCAAATGACAAGCAGACTCTAAAATCATTTGAAATACTTCTAGTGATTTCTTAAGACAACCCTGCCAAAACTTCTCCTGACTCCATACCAAAAGCCTCTCCCCAAAACAGTTTTACACTCACCATTTTATCAGCTAAAATGCCATTCAATCCATGTTTATGCAAAAGTGCTAACCAGTTCAATTCAATCTCCTGATATAGCTTGAGCTTCAAACTGTGAGGAATTGCAGTTTACCATAGGAACATCCTTTGTTTCTCTCTCACACAACTCTATGTTTTTCACTGAACGTAAAGCTTAATATTTTCTATATTTTAATCAGTGATCTGAGACAGTAATTTTTAAAATAGGTAAAATAGGTTTCAGAACACTTACTAATCAGGGGGAAACCAAAACAAAAATCACACCAATTACTCTTAATACAGGCCTACACATAGTTCATGTTTTAAATCCCAAACCTTAACAAATTAAACCAACAAAACCTTCATTTATGGACTTCAAGTTTCTTATCAGAATGTTGTCCATACCAGGTCTAACGTTCTTCAGCCAGCTGAAACACAGGAAAGAAGAAGGAAGGGACCAAATCATGTGAAACAACTGCAAGCAACACCCAGTGCATAATCTGCTTACCGGCACTAACGGTTTCTCTCCCTCTGCTGTGATGCGCTTTATAGCCTTCTGACGCATTAGCTTTTACAAGAACAGAGACAGTCAACTCCTCTCTCTTCTACGGAGGAAATATCCAAGCTGGTATCTTCAATCATGGAGCAGAAGCTGCTGCTGCTCAAGTAGCTGCAGTAAAAGTCCTGCCACGTCCTCGGCCTCTGCATGGTTTGGCAGCTAAAGAGCTCACGGCAGCCCAGGCAGCAACCCCTTCCTACGGGAAAGCTCTCACCTCTTCCTCTGCAGGGAAATCACCCCAGTTCCCGGGCTAACACTGACTGACAGCCATGTCAGCCAATCAGCTGGAGCTTTTCGGGAAAATCTCCCCTTCCTTCCCTCTTCCAGAGGTCATATGACACTGTTGCAGGCGCTATTGGCTTGCAAGGAGCTCTCTGCTCCAGCCTAGCCAGGAGGAGGCCACCCAGCTGTGCCTGCCTGGCCTGGAGGCCCCTGGGCTGCAGGCCTGCTGGGAACATGGGAACAAGAGCACAGGCTTACCAGAGCTTACCAGCTGGGGAAGGGCCGCAGCACCAGGAGCTTCTCTACTTTCTTCTCCGAGCACCGCGGAATTAGAGCAAGCTCGCTCGGAGAAGCGTCACTCAAAAAGCTGAGAACCTGCACCTTGTACAGTTCTTCCATTGTTTCATTGCCACTGTCAGTCTTCTTCAAGGGAGTTACTGACAAATCACAAACATCCTCTATTAGGTGGCTGGTGCTCCACATGCTTTTCTTGCCTTTTGCCTTTTTCCTCAAACATCCAGCTCCTCCTCTGGTGATGGTGACTCTGCCACTAGTGGCGCCCACTCCTTCTCTGGTGGCTGCGTTTCCACACCTGGTGATTCCTGCTCTGCTAGGAGGGACCCGCAGCCCGGTACTTGCGATGGCAGCTCCTCTTCTGGTGTGAGCAGCTCCACCACAAGTGACTCGCAGGCCACCACTCACAAAGGTGGCTCTGCCACAGGAGGCTCCCAGTCTGCCACAGATGACTGCAGCTCCTCCACTGGTGACTCCCACTCGCTGCTGGTGACAGTCACTTTGCTACTGCTAACCCCTACTCCACCAGTGGTGACTCCCAGGCCACCACTCCTAAGGGTAGCTCTGCCATGGATAACTCCCTGTCCATTGCCTGTGACTGTACCTCCTCCACTGGCAACTCTCACTCTGCTGCTGGTAACTGTAGCTTTACCACTGGTGACCCCCTGGTCACCACTCCTGACTCCCAGGCCACCACACATAAAGATGGCTCTGCCACAGGTGACTGCACCTCCTCCACTCATGACTCCCGCTCTGCTGCTGGTGACAGTGGCTTCACTGCTGGTGACTCCCAGGCCACCACTCCTGACTCCCAGGCCACCATTTCTAAAGGTGGCTCTGCCACAGATGACTCCCAGGCCGCCATGAGTGACTGCGGCTCCTCCACTGGTGATGCCCCGCTGCCTCTGCTGCTGGTGACAGTGGCTTTACCACTGGTCACTCCCACTCCACCACTCCCAACTCCCAGGCCGCCACTTCTCCAAGTAGCTCTGCCACGGATGGCTCCCAGGCCACCACAGATGTCTGTGGCTCCTCCACTGGTGACCCCCACGCCACAGCTCCTGACTCCCAGGCTGCCACTAGTGACAGCAGCTCTGCCACTTGTGAATCCCAGGCCACCACAGGTGACTGCGGTTCCTCCATGGGTGCCTTGCATTTCAGTGTCCCTTCAGTCTCATCACTTGTTTCATCTCCTGAGACTTCTTGCTGGTTGGTAACTTTGCTCCTGGAAGCGTATTCAGTACCTATGCACATAACAAAAAGTAAGAAGTTCAACATGTACTCCTTAAGGACAAAGTAGAACTGGCTTGCTTTACAAAATAAAAGCACATAAAGACAAAACAAAACAAAACCCCAAACAGTTTCAGTATCTAATGTGCAACACAGTTTCCTCATTGTTCAATGCTATAAGCAATGTTTTGCCATTCTCCACTACACCTCTCTAACTTTGGGTTTGCACAAGTCCACAGCAGTAGGTGCTACTGACACAGAAGAGAGGCATAAAGAGAGGCATTATGCTTTAAAGCATAAAATTAGCAACCATGAGCTGAAAAATACTAGCTTGCACACTGCTCAAAAAGCACCATGCTTTAACAAATGCAGCACACGGGAGGTGGAGGAACTTAGAGGCAGAGCAGCTTTGAGAGCTTCACAATTTGTAATTTCACTGTGATAGTGGTGCCCCATATTCCCCAAAATAGAGACTTTTTTTTTTAAACCATTTTATTGCATCTCAGTGCGGTATTAAGGAAGGTACATCATAAGTGTGCACCTGTTAGTGACCTGGAGAAACTGTGTATTCTGAACTACTCTTCTGACAATGCTCTAAGGGACTCCGGAGCTTCATGTGACTCCCAGCTGTGCTCCTGCAGCACATTTGTCAGCTCCTGGGGTTAAAAAAAAAAATTGTTTTTCTGTAGACATGTAATAGAGAATAAGCAATTACACTTTGTAGGTCAGATGTTTCAGAAGAAATCAAGATGAGAAATCTTGGCTTTATTCACAGGATAAAGTGACTGACTACACCTGACTATTTTTCCCCACACACATAGTTATAATACATCACCAAATTTGACAGTGCCAGGCTTGCCATGGGACCACAGCTAGAACAACTAGTTCTGCATAGCCTCCCTTTCCATCCACCTGCTTTCAGTTCAAGGCAAACTGGGTTCCCAGAGCTCTAACCCTGGAGACCCTGAGTTCTTGCTGCATGTGCTGCTGGTCTGGTCCTAATGAAACCATCCTCAGCACAACTACAAATTTCTGATGAGGTTGAAATCAGATTTGTCCTCCTGAGTTGTGAGAACTCACTTTTTCAGCCAATCCAGGGAAAATGTTTTTCGGCTTCTTTACCAGCACCTCTTTCTTCTCCCATGCCTCTATGGATTTTGGAACATCCTACAGAGCTACAACCTCACCATCCCTAAGTTTCTTACTTTCTCGACAAGGCTGTATCATCTTGCTCCTCCTGGGTCCACTGCCACCACCTTGTGGTGGCAAATTCTAATTAACAGTAGAAGCACAGTCTGATTGATATCCTAACACTAAAAGATTTAAATAATTTATGCCCAGTAAAGCATAATACACCTATTAGCAAGAAGAAAAATAAGGATAGCAGAGCTGACATGAGCACCCTGCCCATGAACTCTTGGTTCGTGCCTTGCACCCCTCTTTTTGCCCCACACCCTTCCACAAAAGGCTTACTCAACAGCAGAAAGATGCAGGGGGTCTTCAAAAGGCTCTGCAGAGACACCAATGTGATCCTACACCTTTTGGAAGCTACACCTTTTGGAAGCATTTAAGCAGTCACCTCTCCTACAGCTCATTTTTTCCCCTCAACCTGAACATGCTTCTCTAAGGTCAGGTCAAAGAGGAATGAGCTGCAGCTGCCCCCAGCTGCATCACATACCTGACTAAATAACCCCAGCAGGTGAAGGGCCTTTTGGCATCTCAATTGCTTACACATGGGAGCAGAAGAAAAAAAGTTGGTCTCCAAAGCACACAGCTGAACTTTTATGAGGGGGGTTAAAATTGTCCATGGGCAGCAAAAGGCTTCCTTACTTCCAGCAGTCCCAGACTGAAGAGTGGAAATGATCCAAAGTCTCTACACAAACTCACCAGTCTCTTTGGGAGGGAAGGTCATAAGAGATGGGACAGCAGAACTGAACTGTGTGCCCCACTTCCACAGGGCATCAGCAATGCAGTAACTTACAGAGAAAACACTTATGAAGCCAGTTGCCCTGTGATTTACTCATGGGTCAGTATGCTGCGATAGGAAGATTGTTTATGGCATTCAGGACATCCCAAAGAGCTGACATTATAAAGCGTATCAGCATAAAAATAAGAAAAGTCCTGCTGCTTAAGGCCCCCCAGAAAGGCCACATGAAGTAAAAACTTCCACAAACAAGCTCTTTCCAAACCCACGGAGCAGCTGCCTACCTGTTACCACATACAAGGGCCTGGCCCGGCTCCATACATCACATCACAGAGTACCTCATGATGTGAGGTAACGACACAACGTATCGTTACCTCACAGCGAGGCAATGACTCCTCTTGCTAAGCTTCCTCATGGCCCTCCTGCCCCAGCTCATAGAACAGTTGTCGCCTTACTGTTTTTTACCCAATTGCTCTTTAGTTTACTGATACTTACTTGAAATCCACGGCCATCTTTTTCATATTTCCCTGGATGGTACATCCTTTTCATAAATAAGAAACACGCAAGAATCACATTTGGATTTACGTGTGGCTCTGTTCTTTTCTTTCCCCAGGAAAAAGCATTCAACGATATCCTCACCAACCAAGCACCAGAGCTACTGAAACACTTGGATGCTTTCTTAGGGAATAAAAACTGGCTAGTAGGAGAATCTGTAAGTGTATTTTAAGTATATTCACCCACTCCAAACAAGTGGTTAGTAAAGCAAACTGACTGTTGTTAACTTCCACATTTTATGTAGGCCTACAGAATCTTGTGAAACAACGACCATCGCTCTTGTTAACTTCTTGCTCTTACCAATACCTTTGTTTTTAATTATGTTGAGCCTTGCACTGCAAACTTAGCACTAGCTCTGCAATTGCCACTTCCAAAGCACAAATCAGAGGACCGAGTGGGTCAGATCAAGAAAATCCACCGCCCTCTTCTTCACATTTCCTCATATCCAGAAAATACCAATTATGCAGCCTATTTGTGTAAATTACGAAAACCAACCAACCAACCAAAAAGGCACATATACATATTTTCATGTCACAATTAACAAGTGGTATAAGTTACAAGTTTTCCAGTCATTTAAATACATTTCAGATGGATATGCTATACTCAACGTCACATCTACTCCTTCTGGGCATTTGAGAGAAGGGACTTAGTGGAGTAGAGGCTGAGGACAAGACTGCCTCCACTTACACCCCTCTCACTAGAAATGAAGGGTTAAAACTGATCAACCCCTGTTATGGTTGGTGTGCTCCCAGCACTGAAAAGTCCAACCTTTGGTTCCTTTCAGCATGCATTCTCCAGGTTTTTGCTTGCTCTTCACAGATCTTTCCTGCTTCATCTTCCACTCTCTTCTCCTCTTCACATCAGAGAGAAGCCCAAGTCATCTTCTTTCTGTACCTTCTTCCCAACCACAGACACCAGTACCTGATGATACTCAGTGGCAAGACCTTCCCCAAGGGAATCCTGGCAAAACTAGATTCAGGGGTGTAATCCCAGACTTTTTAGTTTCATTATAATTGCTCTTTCTCTTCTTCAAGCCCCACTTAGTGGATACCCTGATTTAACGCACATGGCACTCTCCATATTTGTCACTAGACTTATAACTCAATTGAGATTGAATTAGACTAAATCACAACTAACAAGTGACCACTGAATAAAGCCAATTCAGTACAAATGGAGCGTCTCTGCTAGCTTTAAAGCTGCTGCTTTTGTTTCTAACTTCCAAGTCAGAATTCCTCTCCTTTGCCCCCAACAAACACAAAATGAAAACATTTCATTCCTTTGTGGAATTTTATTTGAACCAATTGACACTAAACCAATACAATACAACAAAGGGACCAAAACAAGCAAAACCAGACTCAAGTATTGTCAAATAAGGCACATAAAAGTCTATATGCACAATCCAGTGAAACAGACAGTTCTTTATATTTATATATATGCACACACTGATATATGTGTGTGTATATATAGTTTTAATATATATATATATTTGGAGGTAGAAAAATTTATAAAAATACTGATAATTCTTAAGCAGTAGTAGATCTGTTAAAACAATAACTGTTGAGGTCCCCTTTTTGAAAACTGCTCTGTTTATCAGTATTTATTTGGCATCTGATCCACTATGTTTGTGCTATTTATCTTTTTGTTTGTAAGTATCAAAACAATGCCATCAGTGTTAAAAAATTTCAATACCATGAGAAATACAATAAAGAAATTACAAAAGGGTAGAAATGCCATAAACCTCATGGTTAGTGATGCAAGAATTCTTGTGGAGGACATTGCCTTTTTTCCTTAAATTCTATAATATGTTGACATTTTATAGGCCTAATGACGTTTTTAGTAAGCTGGCTATATCTGCTGGAATGACTCCTTCTCCTGCAGAAACAGAGAGAAAAAGGAAAAAAATATGTTATTACAGCATTAACTATTTCACACAAACTGACAAAACTCTTGAAATCTGTGCAGTCGGTGGATTCATTCACAACTAATTAAATTGCAGCAAATTCAACTGATGAGTACGGGCTTTCTAATTCATTTCCAATGAAACATGAGGGGTTCATCTGCACAAAGGAATGTCCAGAATCAAAATAGATTGCAGTGACCTCCTTAATGCAGCTATGTGGTCATGACTTCGTGCTGCAAGAACCTTACCTGAATCAGCTGCAGTCATGTCTTTTTCTAACTTCAATTTCTGCTGGCTGACTTTGAGCATCGATTCCTCAATAGTGCCTTTACTGATAAGTTTTATGACTTGCACTTCTCTAAAAAACATAAAACACGGTAAGTCCATTTTATAGATTCTTTGAATAGTAAAAAAAATGGGCAGACTCTGCACCTTTGCTCAGCTGGCAATGGTTTAAAGCAAGGAGAAGAGCCACAGAAGAGGCCAGTGGTAGAGCTCTAGGTTTTCTGTTTGGATCAACTGTGCTTCGTACTGCCAGAAAACTTGTCCTCCCCTGTGCTCTCAGCCACCTCGATCTGCAGTTTTCAAACTGGCCTTAACAAAACCCACCATCTCCTTCTTCCAGTACCACATCTGAAATAACTGGTACTGAGCACAGCCCATCACTCACATCAGCTCACTGCTCCCATCTGGAGGACAGATGGGCATGTCCCTCTTTAGGATACACATTGGCCTTTTCAGAAGTTAGAAGCCTTCTCAAGAGAACAAATAGCATTGCCAAAAGGTGTCAAAGGATTCAAACTGGCCTTCATATATGTCAGTTCCTACCACTAGAAATTTGAGAAAGTTCTGCAGAACTGGGAAGTGAAATAGCATAAAGAAAACACAGGTTTGTTCTGCCAGCGATAAGAGCAAACACCATTACAATTACCTAGCTCTTGCACCATCTAGTCTCTGCTTAAAACGAAACCTGCAATCATGAGGCAAGCCCTCCAAGGAGGGCAATGTTTTCAATAAAAACAAGCATCATATTTAAGAAATCTTACCTTGTTTGTCCGACTCTATGGCAGCGATCTTCTGCCTGTTTGTCGTTGTACGGATTACAATCAATGTCGTGAAGAATGACGATGTTGGCTGAGGTCAAGTTAATCCCCAGGCCACCAGCTTTGGTCGACATAAGGAATACAAATATTTCCATATCGGTATTGAATTCATCTATTAGATGTATCCTACAGAACAGAAGCACAGCCATATGAGGCCTTAAGAAAAAACAACATTCAAGTTCCAGAGATGGACAGGCAAGTTAGGAGGACGATGCTTTGAAAAGGAGAACTGGGGCTTTGCAAAGCAGCGCAAGCGAAGACCTGAAGCAGAAAGGAAATGGGTCCTGACAGTCCTCAGCAGTGATCAGAGCAATGTACCTCGAGTGACAGACCAAAAGCCAAGAATGAAGTGAGACTTGGAGACTTCTGTCACCTCCCCTCTCTTTACAGACATCCATTTGTTCCCTTAACTGTAGCATGCAAGCCACATACCTCTCAGAAATCTGGGTTTTTCCATCCAGCCTGATGTATTTAAGCTGCAGATGCTGTAAAAGAACTTCTAGGATATCCAACATCATCGTAAATTGGCTAAATAGAACAACGCGGTCACCCTGGAAAGAAAAAAGCAGCATAAATGCTTAAAAAATATACTAACTAGAGAGATTCTTTACTAGTACAAGTCATTTTAATTAGACTAATTTTAAGTAGATTGGTTTTTTCCAAGCTCAAACACTATGTAGGATTCCAGGAAGCCAAGCCTGACTGCCAGTGAAGACAGTATGTCCGGTATTTCTGCTGCCTTGTCTCATGCTTGTTACTGAGTGCTACAAAGTTGTCATTCTAAACCTAGAAATCACTAGTCCAACACACAAATAGAATAAACCTACTCCCATCTATAAGCATCAATAAAACAAATTTCCTCAATAACTGTGGAAGTCATTTTTCGTGGCATATAGACCATTGGCACGTGCGATCTGAAATGAATGAATATATAAATTCAGGATCTTTCTCTGAAGTATTATCCTACATCTCAACTTGTAAAACAGGCCAGTTTGGATCTCTGACTGAGCAGCAGCATCTCATGCCTTCCATAGACGTAGTACGCACACACTCAACACATGCAGTTGGGCTTTTAACACGGTAAGATCTTGTTCGACTGCCCAAAAGAAAGTTGTGCTCACAAAGTTCATCAGCTGTGAAGACCATACTCACCCTGCTTATACTAAGGGAACAGAGTTAACCCAGGATGAATATTCTAAAACTTACAAAAAATGACAACGGTAACTCTAATTGTGTTGCTTCATTATGCATAAAATGTACAGTTATGTATAAAACGAAGTGCACAGGCAAGATTTTGCATTAAAATGAAGTATTGCTAGGCAATACTGTACATCTACATGTGCATCTACTAAATCACAGGGCAGTATTCCACAAAAAAGCTCTTACAGCTATTTTACTGACAGATACGAAATTAATCAGCTATGTAAAGCCAGTGAATAGGCAGACAAGAGGTTTTGACCAGCTATCTGTAATACAAACCTTTGTTTTAAGGTCTGAAAGAATATGCTCCAAAGTTCTGAATTTCCCAGAATCCAAAATTTGATCAATTTCTAACTTGAAGTTGTTGACATGAGCATATTGCTTGCAAAGCAAATGCAGCTCGAAATCCGTCATTACTGTCATGTCCTCGAAGATAAGCTCAGGGTTGGCATCACAATGTGTGGATTCCTATTAGCAAAATTAAGGGGAAATCATTCAAGACATAATCCTGCTAACAAGACAAGAAAATAAATGTACACATACATCCAAAATTGTGGGGAAAAAAACAAATACACACAGAGTAGCCAAATTAGATATTGAGAAATGCCAAAGTGTGGCTCATGCAAGCAACAAAACATGAACTCTGCAACCCCAGGTTTACAGGACATAGTAGAGGGTCAGTGTTATGCCACAATTCAGCTTTTACCAAAAAACTACCAAAAACTAAGTGTATGTTCTATCTCCACAGCCATTACCTAGGACCCATCAAGCCCTATGGCCTTTACCCCTGCATCAGACCTCTTCCCCTGAAGACACATTCCCTAAAAGGGAGGTCCAATCCTTGCATAGATGGTGAAGACATGGGAAGTTCAGCCCAAGATGTAGGCTGGGGAGAGGGATGTCATGCCTGGAATAAAGAGGAAAAGAAAAGCCGTATCTGGAGAGTATGATGGTATCAGCAGAAATAAAAAAGGGTCCAAAAAAAAAAAAAAAAGTGTGACTTCTCCCCTTTTCCCCAGTCAGAGTTCAACATGAATACCTGGCTTGAGTTTTTAAAAAGAGCACAGAGGTTCAAAGCCAGCTGTAACTTTACAAAGCACTAGCTGTATATTATGATGCTTGGGTATTTTTGTTTTTGGTAGTTTACAAAGAAGAAACATCTTTCCCCAGACTCCACAGGCATTAGCACAAGCCAACCTAGGAAAAAATCCCCAGCTGTATCCTACTTACGCCTTGCCTAGTTTACTTCCGTGCAACCCACATCTCTTGTCCTTCAGAAAATACTAGTAAGCTCACCTACCTCCTAAGATGTTTTCATAAACATTTCTATTTCAAATACTGGAGAGAACAGCTAGTAAAGGGAGACTAATGAAAAGGAGAGGACTGCAGTCCCAGAACTGTTCTTTCCATTCTAATAGCTGATATAAAAAGAGCATGTTACACAGCCACGCACACACAGAACTTAACTAGAGCGCTGGAGAGATGCCACGGAGAAATAAAAAAGCACCAACAATGAATTAAGTTTTGCAAGGACACTTTTGACCAAACGACTCACAACACATAACTAAAGTTACATGACCATTTTTAAGAAATTGCAGACTGCTGCTGAATTTTACCACCTTACCCTGAGCATAAGTGCAGACATCGTCCTGAGCTTGTCATCTGTGTAATAGTGACGGTGCAGGAGAGGGTGATTAGCCATCTTCCTGAGCTGCATCATTACGTTTCCCATGTCAGAATTCTTCTCTGCAAAAAAGAAAGATATAAGGTATATTCAGAAAAAGTTATATTCAGACAGAATTTATATCCAGAAAAATTCTCACAAGGGATAGAGTCACTTAATGAATACATTTCTGCGGAGCAAAGGCTAGTTATAATCATTGTAATTATAGGCATGAAAACAAACAAACAAACAACCAGCAAGAAGAAACAAGACTGCCATGTACCATTACTCTTAATAGTTTTCTTCAGCTTATTCACAAGCTCAGAGTACATTTGTTCTTGTTTCTCAGACATGTCGCACAGTTCAATGACATCTCTTTTCGGAGGCAGCTGTTTAAGGACCTGAAAAGTTGTGAAAAAACAAATATATAAAGGTGCACAATGTAAAAACTGCATTGTAGTGAGTAGTCAGTAGTAATGTACTACCTAACAGGTCAGTTTTAAGGTATTTTATACCTTATCCCCGAGCAGCCTTAACAGCTGCCAACTGGAAAGCAATTGTACACTCTCCATTTTTCATCAGTAAAGAAACAGGAAAAGCCAATGAAGTAACATCCTCTGTGTACTTCAAGACTGGACAAACCCCCAGATACTTGGAAAGTACTCTCCTGCTAACCAGAAAGTTTTTATGAAACCACTAATTACTGACTGCGTGACAAGTACAGTGAGAGATCTCTCCAATTCTTGCTGAAGGGAGAAAACGTTACTACAAAATCAGGCACAGTTTGGTGCTTCAGGTGGAACATTTCTCTATTGAGATCCACTTAAATGTGCTCAAGTCATCTTTCAAATATGGAAAAAGCCACTAAGTAATGAGCAACAAAACCCAAAAAGTCGCAGCAGCAGGTCATGTTTTTGCTTAGAAACTCTCGCAGGATGACTAGTAGCTCAAGGATGGTTTAGAGTCAGAAGGAAACAGTAGCAAGCCCCGAGTGTAGAAGATTCACTGGATGCAAAGAGCAGTACCATGACACCAAGGCCCTTCAGCCTTTGCAGGTCCCTTCCCCTTTCTAGCCAAACTATCCCTGAACAAATTTGGCATTATATTCATTGAGAGCCTCGGATACTACCACTACCAAATATTATTTTAGAGAACATTTTACCTCATCTTTTACTCTTCTCAAGATGAATGGCTTGATTATCTGTTTGGCGTGGGCAATCCTCTCCATTTCATAGACACTTTGCTCTTCCACAGTCTTCTAGGGAAGATATTGCAAAAGGTCAGTTAGGGGGTGCCAGATTCCAGCTCTAATGATACTACCTTAACTAGGCTAAACTAAAAGGAGAGGGAGGAGATACACAGAAGAGACAGATTTCACAGGATCACTGGAAGTCTCCAATATCCAACTATGACACATTTTTAGATGAAAGAGGTTATTGCATTGCTTCTTATCCTAAATTTTTATAATCCCCTTATCTGTTTCCATAAGATACCAACAAAAGCTATGCAGAAACAAGAGTTTAAGAGCAGAAAAAAAAATGGGAAGAGAAAAGCTAATACTTACTGTTTTTGAAGAGAACATCCTTTGGATTTCGTTCTTGCTATTACTGAACATATGTGGCATAACAAAATTTAAGAGAGACATTAATTCCAACAGATTATTTTGAACAGGAGTTCCTGTGAGCAGCAAACGATTCTTTGCCTATTTGTCCAAAGGAGAAAAGAGGAGTGAAAATCATTCGTTCAAAAGGTTGGGGAAAACAACACCACCGTACGGAGAGCTAAAAAGCTGCCTTGGTTTAACTTCAATGATAAAACTTTTTTACTTTTTAAAGTAAGTCTCTAACAGAGTAATTTTCTGGTGAAGCCAACAAAATGATTTAGAGATTGTGAAGACCTCAGCTCATAACCATTTAAGAAAACTTATATAGTGTAACCTGGCTCTATCAGGGTAGTGACAGGCAAATAAAATCTTGAAAAAACCTGTAATAATTTAAGCAGCATAAGTCTATTATCACTATAACCAAAATAATTAAATGAACCCAAACTTTGCTGTTTTCAAGAAGATCCTGACTCACATCTAAAATGCCAGTTTGAACTTCTGAGGTTTCAGTTTAGCCCAAACGTACCCCAATAACCAAATTCCCTTACATTAATGGTCATGAGGTATTGGTAGCGCACAGCATTCATGTTCTTTAGCATATGGCCTTCATCAAAGATTGCATAGCTCAGTTTCAAACGGCGAAACAGTCTTCGATCATCAGCACTGCTGATTGCACAGTTATACCTGCCAGAGGAATATATCAGAGAAGACATTAAAACCAATCTTAACACAAACACCCTGCTGCCACAGGCATCCTAAACACTGCATAAAGAAACCCCAGAGGCCCTAAGTAACGTTACCTAGAAATAATCAACTATAACAATTTACTGCTAGCAGATAAAGATAGCTCACTTAATGAGCCAATACTCTCCAAAAACCTGAAATAACCCATTAGCACAAAAAATAAAATAAAAAATAAATAAAAAACTCCAAAATCTCAGCATTTTGAGTTACTCTTCTGCGTCTCAAGAAGCAAAAAAAGGACAGGTCAGAACATTTTCCATCTGCGTCACTGAAATGATACTGAAAAGAAGAACTCCAACAGGTTCTCACTTTTGGTTTTTGCTGTTCTTGTCTTGTTTGACATTCTCATGCTCTTTGGAGAAATTCAAGCATTACAGAACTATCCGATTTTGTATCACCACTAGAGGTCAGGAGGAGCTAACCAAATTTCACTTGTTCTTTTAATTGCTCTACTTACGTTGTTATAATCACATTGAAATGTTCACTTTTATTATAAATCCCAAATCTGAGAAGTTTCCTCTCTTCTTGGGATCCTAGAAAAGCACAAAACAAGGGGCATATTTTTTTCATAAACAGAATATTTAAAAGATTAGACAAAAGTAAAGGAAATATTTGGCATTAAGTATCCGCATTTAAACAATTATCTTAATACAATGCTCCAAAAGCAAGGACCTTTTTTAGGCTAAAAAACAAACCAACTCTATTATTCCTGGATTGATTTCTAGATTTTATTCCTCACCATAATATAAAAGGACACTCAGTTCAGGACACCACAGGTTAACTTCTCTTATCCAGTTATCTGCAAAAACAAACAAAAAATCACAGCAAATACCATCTCGAACAGCTAAACTTGATTATGTCTTATGCAATTTCAAACATAGTAAGAGAATTCTGCCTTCTTCAGCATTAAACCAAAATATCTCAATTAAAACACAAAATCCTCAACCCACTCCTGAAGTCTAAGAAACCTCTTCTGAAGCCCAAACACATACTTGATTTGAAGAAGAAGATTTCCTCTTGCTAATAAGTATTCAACAAAGCCACTTTAACTCACTCTAGAGAAAGCTACTCTCTACTAGATATCCTCATTGGCTTTGCTGAGCTAAGCTTTACTCCGCAATATTTTTAATTCCTTCAGACCAGGGTCTTTAAATAACAAAGACACAGCAGTAGCCTCAACATTCTAGCATATAGCTCTGTTTGGAAAGAGATTCTGTGTAGTAAAGGCTTGTTTGAGTTGGGAGCTGATAACAGAGCATTTTGAATGCAATAAAACCTATCCCCAAGCGGAGCCTGAAGACCGGGATTACAGCCAATCTTCAGGAAGACTACTCAGCTAAATGAGTTCAGATTATAACAAGCATTTTTTTGTGACATGTATATAGCATATTATACATGAAAAATATGTTAAGCCTAATTAATTCAGAGCAAGCATGTCTCTTGTATGGCCTGCATTCCAATTCAAGTCATCTCTGGAACTGAATACCACCACAAGAAAATTAAGTTTCTTTCACAAACCTTATCTTCATCTGACTATTTGTCTTTTTTTTTTTTTTGTCACTATGAAGCTTTTAACTTACCTAATGTTGAAGCTGGCACAACTATGACATGGGGACCTTGATTGCCCTCTTGGTAGAGATGAGCCAGAAACGCAATAGCTTGAATCGTTTTTCCCAAGCCCTAAGAGAAAAGAAAAAAAACATTGAAACGGAATTTACAGTCTCTAGAAAATAGTAGGGCTTTGCACTCATTAAAATGTAGTCAATATTAACTACATGCTTGCAAATTTTCATAGAATAAATGTTTATCTCTATCAAAAAAGAAGGGATATATAGAAGATAAGGGCTCACTGCAAGCAAGAGCTGGACAAATACGATGTACTCTAGCTATGGGTAAATAGATACAAAAACAAATTATGTGATAACCTGTTATCGTACAAGTGATTCCATCAAACGACATCGAGCAATTAGCAGTGACCATGAATCCTATGGTCTTAGCAAGGTACTTGTTCAAACTGCAGCATCTAACAGAACAAGTGTTTTCCAAATGAATTTGTGTTTCACAGGACTGGATGAACCTCAAGTTTTCACAAAACAGCACTTTATATCTAACGTCCAGTAAATCACTGGGAACAGTTAATGCTATGTTTTATTTTCAAATCAAACGAGAGCTGGGCAGCTACCACTTTGAGAAGTCACAGAAACATTCGGACAAACTGCTTGTAATTTTATCAACAAAAACAAATTAGAAATTCACTCCTTTACTGCAAATGACAAGCAGATTCTAACAGTCATTTGCAATACTTGCAGTGATTCTAAAGACAACCCTGCCAAAATCTTTGCCTCCCTGTTCTCTCCCATACAAGTCTCTCCCCAAAACAGTTTTACACTCACCATTTCATCAGCCAAAATGCCATTCAATTCGTGTTTATGCAGAAGTGCTAACCAGTTCAGTCCAATCTTCTGATATGGCTTGAGCTTCAAACTGTGAGAAATTGCACAGTTTACCATGGGATCATCTTTTTTCTCTCCATGAAATGCAACTACATATTTATCACTTAACGGCTAGTTTAACATTTTCTATATTTTATTCTGCTCTGGACCACCTACGCAACCGATGAGCATCTCAACATTTATTTAATCAGTCAACAGTATACTAAAGAGCACTTACCAACTTTCTATGTAGTCTATCTTCATCCTCCTTTACCTTAAATTACTAAAAATCTAGAATAAATTCTTCTTTTAAGTGTTAAATCAGTGATCAAAGACATTAATTTTTAAAATACATAAAATTAGGCAACATTTAGCAGTTGCATTACAAAGGTGATTCTCTTACACCCTAGTTGCAATAGCACCAAAAAATCCCAAGCTCAGACAATGTTCATAACACACTTAGCACTAACTCACCTACCTCACCATTTCTGCCCAAGAAGAAAACCCCCTGATAAGCTCCCTTGAAATAGTTCCCTTCTCCTCTTAGTTCCTGTTTCAGCACAGCTGAACATCCTTTTGCTATTTACCTCTAATAAGGAGGTGCTATTTTGGACATTTCCACTTTTTCAAAGGTGACAAGATTTAAGATGTTGGCCTTCAAGCAGACCTCCTTATCTGACACTTGGTTAAACATCAAAAGGTGCTAAGATACCTCTGGTTCAAAATGGAAGGTTGCTCAATGTTCCATCCGCATTCTCCATCTTCTGTGATCCTGGTTGCTTGCTTGGTCAGTTGATTTGAGATGTCTTCACATTTATTCATGATTTTTAGGACCACAGCCCTCTCTTTCAGCAGTGTCTCACAGCTCCAGACTATCTCTTCTGATAAACCAGGAGTCTCATTTAATTTGGTTAACTGCAAAATAATTAAAAAAAAAAAAAAAACCACACACAGAGACTCCACTGTGAACACTGATATTAGCCAGGGAAGTAACAGAGCAGTTACTACCAGTGGGCAACTCTTGATATCGTGCCAGTCATTTTTCACTTCATAAAGTTTTAAAAAGATCAGACCTCCATCAATAAATCTGACTTTAAACTTAAACTTTAAACACTATACCACCTGTAGAAAGGGCAAAAATCTTCTATAAACACAGTTACAGTAGTTGATGCCAGACTTACCATCATAGCATCTTTATGCACAAAATTGTTTCACTACAAAGGACGAATATCTTTCTATTGGAATAGTTAAGAAATCTAAGAATGCAGCCAAGCACCAGAACCTCTGGATGTGCCCCTTATGTGTATTTACACCAGTAGGGTGAGCTTTGACTCCAAAAATCCCACTAGGAGGGATGCCCTCTGCTGACAGCCTGCACAGTTATAATCTCCACGTATTGGCGGGGTTTGCTCTTTTGTTTCCTTCATACAAAAATCTGGAAAGTTGACCAACATTGCACTGAATGACTGAGCCACTCACGTCAACACTTGCAAACAAGTTTTCTAAGCAGACCCCTTTTGATAAAACAACTTGCCAAGAATGTGATTTTTAGTGAGAGATTTAAAATTTCAACATTTCTTTCAATGCCTAAAGCTTTCGCTGGCATGAACACAAGTCCTACTATCTATAAATAAAGGCATGGGGAATGCAGACATCTGTTATTAAAAAAAAAAAAAAAGTACTATTCTATGTCAGCTGGTTAGCATTCTTGCTCAAGTTACAACAAGAATAAGTTTCAGTCACGACTTTACAGGTGGAAGAAACCAGGTGCTGCTATGTCACATCGGCTACAAAACAGATCCTCAGGTGGCCCTGGAGGTTACTCGGGTCTCCAAAAAAGTTCCAGCTTATAAAAAGGTTTCCCAGAGAGAGATATTTTGGAGTTGTTATAGAATCAACCACTCAAATCACCATGAAATAAGCTGCCCTACAACCCATTCCTAACACACATTTCTAAACATGTCCAACTCTGAGCATCTGAATTTGGGAAGCTCTTAAAAGATTCCATGAACCTTAAAATTCATGTCCTTGCACTTAACGGCAGCCTGAAAACCACAAGATCTTCCTCAGTTCTTCTACCCATGGACGAGCAGTAACACCTTTACATGCTGCTACAAAAGAAATACATAGCATAAAAATCTATTTTAAAGCTAAGCTAATGGCTTTCATGCTGAAAAAAATGCAACTCTCCACACTGCTCTACCACTCCTTTAACTTCTCTGTACGAAAAAATCTGGGTCATTGACTTACAGAATCTCTTAAAAATAATTAAATCCACACCGATACTAAACATCTGCCCAATTCTATGGCAAACCTCAACTACCCTGGACAAGTATTCACAGGACTGGGTAAACAGGCACTTGCTGACAGCAGCCATCTCCCTCTCAAAGACTTTGGGCTGCAAACAGGCCCATACAGCTTAGTTTCTGTTCAATGTTCGACACAGAGCAAAGCAGAACAGCCCTGTAGCAAATAGTTCTGCAAAGAATTAGGCTCAGGCAAAACCCAACAAGTTCACAAAGGGATTGCTTTGTGGCAGATGTTCTACGAGAAGCCAAAGGCTCGGGGCAAAACGGATTTCTGTTGCAGCATATTTGCACTTTTTTTCTTTTTCCCTCCCTACAGTCTTCTTCATCTTTCCCCCTGCCCCATTCAACACAGCATGCAAAGACCCTTTGCTATCCCTAAAAATGTGCCTGGTATGCCTCACTGTTAGGCAGCAAGGCACTCTAAACAGCATATTATGGAGTGCTGTGATTTTAAACACAGGCAGAACTTTTTTTTTCACGGAAAAATTGAAAATAAATCTTGTATACCTCACTGGAGGTGGTTTCTGAACACTTACTAATAAGGAGGAAATAAAACAATACAAAGTAAAAACACACCAATTAGTCTTAAAAAAAAAAGGCCTACACAGGTTTTGTTTTAAATCCCAAACTTTAACCAATTAAACTAAGAAAATCTTCAGTAATGGACTTCAAGTTTTTTCTCACAACATTGTCCATGTTGGTTCCAATGTCTTTCAGACAGCAGAAGCACGGGAAAGGTGAAGGAAACAACCATGCCACATGAAACAACTGCAAGCAACACCCAGTGCATAATCTACTCACCAGCAGTTACCGTTTCTCCCCCTCTGCCGTGCAGCGTGGTTTATAGCCTTTTGATGCCTCAGTCTTCATTAATAAAAACACAGTACCTTGCTCCTCTATAAAATGGCTGCATTGCTTAGCTAGCAAAACCATGCTGAAGGCTTAGTTGCAGTATACGCATTAATAATAAAAAAAAAAGGGACAGGCAACTCCTCTCTCTTCTATGGAGGAAATATCCAAGCTGGCATCTTCACTCATGGAGCAGAAGCTGCTGCTGCTCAAGTAGCTGCAGTAAAAGTCCTGCCACGTCCTCGGCCTCTGCATGGTTTGGCAGCTAAAGAGCTCACGGCAGCCCAGGCAGCAACCCCTTCCTACGGGAAAGCTCTCACCTCTTCCTCTGCAGGGAAATCACCCCAGTTCCCGGGCTAACACTGACTGACAGCCATGTCAGCCAATCAGCTGGAGCTTTTCGGGAAAATCTCCCCTTCCTTCCCTCTTCCAGAGGTCATATGACACTGTTGCAGGCGCTATTGGCTTGCAAGGAGCTCTCTGCTCCAGCCTAGCCAGGAGGAGGCCACCCAGCTGTGCCTGCCTGGCCTGGAGGCCCCTGGG